AGCCTTCCAACATCCTGGGATTGAAGGCACATGCCACCAAGCATGGTAAGACAATAAACTATAAAACTGCTCTCTAAGTCCCTGCACTAGGAGCACCCATGAGGACTGTCTAGAAACAGACCCCCAAAGCTCTACAGATGCCCAACATTTCCAAATCAGTGGACAGCCCAGGACTCTGATTGTTAGCAAGCACTGTGGATGAATCTTACTGTACATGTAAATTTGAGAACCTCTAGTTAGGAGACAGGCAGAGGAGACAGAAAGGCTGGCCTAGGAGGTGGGAGAAAATCAAAAGAGCAGGGGACAGGAAAAAAAACAACAGAGCAAGAAAAATGGCGCCTGATGGGAAGGAAAGATGTTGGGTTCCTGGGAAGGATTCCAAGATCCCTCTTCACTCCCCCAGCCATCTTTGCTCTTCCTCAAGCAAGAGCTTAACATTCATTCTGGAGATTCTGGTGGAGCTAGCTGTGTTTGCTGGAGGGAGTGGGTGGAGTTGATGGGCGTCACACAGAGGCTGGTGTACAGGGGTGTGGTCTCTCTTCCATCTCTTCCGGTCCTAAGTGGTAAGAGCAGTCAGAGCTGCTTTCTCTCCTTGGATCCTCTCTTGTCCCTCCTAGCCTAAGCCTCCACCAACCACAGCCTGGTGCCAAGCGTGCGTCCATCTGTGCTTCTTTCCTGGAGCCGGTGGTGTGTTCGTTTTCTCCCATCACAGTGGCTGAGACCTAGGTGCTAGCAGGAGAGAAAGGGATGGGGTAGTGTGGGGAGCAAGATGAGTTGAGCAGGTCTTATAATTTCTTTTAGCCTAAGCTCCTATTCTCAGTGCTTTAGGAAGCAGGAATGTTTTATGAGTTCTTCCCAGCCTACCAGGGCTCAAGGCAGTTAACCATAACATTTTTTGCTTGTTTTCTATTGATTCTTTGCATACACCTTCACTAGGGATGCATGGAGGAGAAATGAGAGTTCTGGGCCAGGAATGGACAATGCTGGGCTCCCAGTCTACTACATTAATTTCTTTCTTTTTTGAGGCAGGGTCTTGCTGTGTAGTTCAGGCTGGTCTTGAACTCACTATATAGCTCTGGTTGGCCTTGAACTCCCAGTGATCCTCCTGCTTCAACTTCCCCAGTGCTGGGATTACTACACCTGGAAACTCCATTAATTTCTAATTCCAGAAAGGCTGCACCTGTATTTTAACCATGAAAAGGTGCACTGGATTTCATAACAAGGTCACTAGTGATCTTGAGTAGAGCTGTGTGTCAGTGGCAGGATACGAAAAGCCAGGCTGGGGAGGAAGGCAGTAGAGGTAAAAAAAAAAAAAAAAGGGGGAGAGCTTGTAGTTAGCTCTTCCAGAGAACAGGAGGAGGTGGGAAAAGCAGAATGCATGGGGTCACAGCCAAGGTCAAAAGAGCTGGCAAGCAGGAAGTACTGGGAGAGAGAGGTGGATGACAGAGCAAGGTCCTCAGGAAGGGTCAAGACAGAAACATCTAGAGCTCAAGGCAGGGATTAGATCTGCACAAAGAATCATCTCTTCCATCCTAACAGAGGGAAAGGGTGAGCCCAAGACAAGCAAGTCTTGGTAGCACACAGTTGAGGGGATTATTGTCTGACGGCTGCTTTCTCTGTGAAATTGGGGATAATATCCTGGGTTAAGAATAAGTTGGAGATTTCAAGAGAATGGAATTCAAAGGGAATCTCAGACAGTAAGCTAGACAGGCAGCCCCAGGGGTGAGGCACCAGGACCAGGGTTGAAGCATTTGTGGCTCGACAGGGCTACTTGTCCCACCCAGCCTGGTCTGCTTGGAGAGACAGATAGTTTACATCCACCGCTAGACACCTTCTACACTGGAAAAGCAGCAAGTGGCAGACTCAGTCCAGGGCTGATACACCTGGATTCTTAACACTGTATTTTACATTTACTTATTTGATGATGGTGGTTAATATTTTTTAAAATCCACAAGACACTTAGAAACAACAAAACAGAAACAAGGAGCACTCTTCCTAGATCCCAGGCTGAGCCCCTATCTCTGTTTCCTCCTGGATGGGTCAATGTTCCCGGATGGGGCAAGCTGCTACCAATAGTTAGGTTTTCTCAAGGTGCATTCAGAGACATCTTCAGCCCTGAAGATGTTTTAAGGATAAAGGTGAACAATAGGTTTGGAAAACTGTGCACAGCACCCTCTCGGAGGTTCAAACCGCATTTGATTACAAAAAGAGTGAACCAAGCCCCCAGAATGGTTTGCACACCTACAATCCCAGCACTCAGGGAGGCTGAGGCAGGAGGATGGCAAGTTCCAATTCAGCCTGGATAACGTAGTGACTTAACAAGATCCTGTCTTAGAAATAAAAAAAGGACTAGGGATGTAGTTCAGGGTGGGAAAACAAAAGTGAAATGCTTAGGAGAGAAAACTAATTTTGTCTCTGTGTTTAAAACCACAGACCCCTCTTCCTACCATGCCCACGCTCCTGTCCCTACTCCGAGCTGGCTGTGGTGGATGAATACAATCTGCTTATCTCTGGTGTGTTCAGTATGGTCATTGTCCAAACAGTGTCTCTCAAGGAAGACCTCTGTTAGAGTGAGAACAATCCATGGCATGAATAGAAGCATTTGACTCTGTGAGAAAACCCACAGTCCAAGAGTCAAGGGAGCTCAAGTCCAGAGTGTACCGCACATGCTGCAGACAGGCATTCTTGGGGCCAGACACAGCCTTATAAGGTGGCCTGACATTTTCTCATGGCCCAGGCCACCCTCCCAAAATATCCAGAGACAGAGTAAGAGTGGGAACTGACCTCCCCGGACATTTCAGATAGGAACAAGCAGGCTATGCACTAAAGAGGAGGGCCAACACCTGCTTTGGGGGCCAGCTCCAAAGCTGCTGGCTTTTCAAACTAGTTGGCTGTAGGGACCCCAATGGAGAGGGCGGTGCGGCCAGAAAAGACGGAGCCTCAAAGCAGGCACCCAAGCTGGATTCTTTGCTCTAAAAAATGTGTTATTTCCTGTACCCTTCCAGAATGTGCTTGAAAATTTGTCTTTGCTTTATATGGACAATGAAGATGCGTGACTAATTTTCATTAGAGCGGCTTTCTGCCGCGGCCTCCTTGGGCTGAAGTTGTTTTGCAAACTCCTTTGGCGCCTAGAGCCCAGATCTCTTGTGAGGTGCTTCCCCCCAGCGGGAGAGGCTAGCTACAACAACGTGGAGGCGGAAAAGGGGCCAGGCTTTAACCAAGTGCTGGGCTGGATCGTACACACCCAAGCCCAAGCCCAAGCAAGACAGGTGGGAAGCGTGGCCTTCCTGGATGTCTGTGCTCCGAATCACGAACAGAAAATGTGATTCCTAGCATGCAAGGATTTCTGAAATGGGCACTAAGTCCTTAAACACAGAGCCTCTCACATTTTAATTTTTGCTCATCAAATGTGAGACATTTAAGGTGAAGGATTATTATTTTGTGATAATGGTGGTTGAACTCAGAGCCTTGCATATGCTAGGCAAGTGCTGTACCACTGAGTCATATCCCCAGCTTGGGAAATATTTTTGGTAATGAGACTTGCCCGTGACATGACACTGAGGTTGTATCTCTAAATGACCTTCCTTCTTTTTGTGGTGTTGGGGACAGAATCCAGGGCCTCATGGATGCTAGGGAAGCACTATACCATGGAGCTACACACCAGCCCACTCCTCTGAGGGCAAAAAGATTATAATCCCCCAGATTGTGTTTAAAAGTGTTAAACAACAAACAGAAACAGAAATCTACCCAGCTCTTTCAAACTCTGTTCTCCGTGCAGGCAGGGGAATGTTAATAGGTATGGCTATTTTTGGTAATAGTTGCTTAGAAGTTTCTTTACCACTAAACAGTATGACAATGAGCCTGGCTATTTGTGAGGCTTGGATTTTTTCCCCCTAAATAATATGAGGAATTGCAAAGCTAGTTTTCATTCTTGTTAAAGGGAACAGAACAACACAGCAGTATTTTTGGAATGTTGTGTAATAGTAGGTCTCTTAATTATACCAAAGGTAATTCCTTCAGGCTAAGCCTTAAGTTAACATAGTACACAAAATTGCCTCAACATAGGACAATGACAAATCAGAAAACTGTGGCTTCCCATTAGTACCCTAAGATTGTAAAGGTTGTATTTACTGGGCAGTCTTGACTATGAACCTTGCTGTCTGTTCTTGTTTCATTTATGATAATCTTTCTCTTTTCACAATGAAGAGCCCACCTTAAGACAGAGTGGATTCTAGAGAACAGGGTGGTCTAACTGCCGTGCTTGAAGCACCCCAGCAGCTTTTAGGATGATGTTCTTTGGGACATACCAAACACTTGGGGATGGGGACACTGAACTCAGAAAGACACAGTGGACTCAGGTGGGAGCACAGTACTGCTGCATACACCAGAGAACTGACCAGAAGGTGCCTGGCACACAGACACATGGCAAGGGAAAAAAATTGATGCTCTAGAGCTGGAGGGTTAGGAGTGACCCTATTGGGCCCATCCTAACCACTTCCTTCCACTGCTTTCTACTGCAGCATGACAGTGAGTGAAGTAGCCCCTAGGATGTTGTTTGGTTGTTGTTTTTTTGGTACCGGGGATCAAACTCAGGACCTCGTGCTTTCGAGGCAGGCAGAGGAACCACTGAGCTAAATCCCTGGCCCTACTAGGATGTTATGGATCTGGGAGCATGTTCAGGATGAGGTACCTGAACTTCACTACACTGCAGGACCATGGTATCCCCCATTCAGCTTAGATACATTACACTAAAAACACCCCAAACCCAATGTTTTGCTGGCCAACTTCTTTTACCCTCTACAGACAGCCTGAAGACTGGCTTGGTAAACTTGAACACTGAGTGGCAGGGGAAGAACGACTTTCTGGAAAACTCTTAATAAAATCTGCCTATTTACCCTGTAATAGAAGAACCATTAATAGCAGAAATAGATTTTAAAATTGTCAAAGAGCTGGAGAGTCGAAACCCTTCTACATTCCTGGAGCAGTGCATTCAGGCCAAGTCCAGGCAGAGCACACACACCAGTTTATTTTGAAATGCAACACAGACCAGATCATGATTTTATGAATATAACTTATGACTACAGTATCAGGTAGAAACACTTTCAAATGCATGCATAGAAAGTTAAGCATTGTCTTTGAACTCCTTATTTCTAAATATACAAAAAATACATTTAAATTATATAATTTTAGTGAATCAAAGACTTATAAAATTACAATTTTGGTTTTCACAACATAGAAAAAATACAAAAATGACTCTATATATAGTTGTCTAATTTTTTACCCAAATTTCAAAGGAGCAGTGTGTAATGAATTTGATGTTTTATCGGAAACTCAGAATTGAAAATAATTTACAGGTTGGACCACATCAATGCCAGCCTTTTATTAGACATGAATAACCAACACAAGACATGAAAAATGAGGGCATAATCTCATCTGCCTCTTAAGCTCAGCATCTTCCTTGCTGAAGTCTGCTTCCAAGAAACTCTTACTGGGGAAGTCAGTGCTTTATTCTGAGACTACATCTCCATAGGGCCTTTGATCAGGGTGGAGTCACGAGATGAGTGGTCCTGATCTCAGCAAACACAGCAAGACACAGATTAGCAGCTGTGTCTACAGTGCTCTGCTGTGCACCTCAAAGGAGTCCCTCTGTGGGCAGACGGCTCCTCGGGGGACCTGAAACACCCAATCCAGTGGGTGCTGGGAAGATGGTGTCTTTGTGTCCTGCAATGCAACCACTAAGTCTGACAAAATCCCCAATGAGCATCGCCTTCAGCATTCACACTTTATAATGAGATGTGACATTTGGTGGGGTTAGATTTCTCAGTGTATAAAAGAACAGCACTGCTTCAAAGGAGAAATTAATTCCTGTTAGGGATTGAAGAAAAAAACCAGTTACTGGGGAGGTTACTGGAGGACACAGTGACACGCCTTACTTATCTGCTGCATTTTAAATGTTGATGTAAAAAAGCATACTCTGGGGTCCAGATCCTTTTTGAAAAGGGAGTTGGTTGTTTGCTGCGTTCTCACTGCCAAGTTCAACTCGATGCAATATGCTGTTTTGCAACAGTGTTTTTTCATAAGTAGCAACAAATTATAATAAAGAGGCCTGAATAAAACTTGCAGTCCCACAATCCTGGAAAACCTGCATTTTTCATCCTATTTTCTACAGTTCCAAAAAGAACTGAAAAAAATTTAACCAAATAAATAAGGCTAACATAACTGAAGATGATTCTGTTTTATAGCAGAAATATATTTTGGAAGAATAAAAAGGGGTAAGAAGATAAATTATCTCTCCCAGAATCTGTCTATCAACAAGAAGAGATTCATCTCAACACACCCCACAGTGCTGACTTGAAGCCGAATTTTAATGTTCAGTTAAAAAATAAATTTATTATATGCCTACTTAGATTAGATTTTCAAGTTCCTGTGGAAATACGCATTTTAAAATTTAGTTTTTCATTATGACATTCTTCTGCTATTAACAATTGTATTTTAAATTACTAAGCCTGACTTAAAGGTCAAAAAAAAAAAAAGGCTCCACAAAGAAGACAGTGTTTAAAATTAAGTGCACATCTGAACTTGCACTTCACTCTTTCATCCAACCCTTCCTTGAGGGACTTTAAATGCACAGTTGAGGTGAGCAGTTAAAATGGCATGAAGATATGATGCTAATTAGACAATGTCCATAGGATCAAGTCATTTCATGGCTCTTCAACATGGCAGGACGGTGCTGCTCTCACTTCAGAACACATGCCATTTCTCAGCACTTGGTGGGGATTAATGCAGGGCTATAGTCAGGGGAAGTACACAGGATAGTGAGTACTGAAACAACAAAATAATGCTGTAGGAAGCCATTCCTGAATGTTTTTCCAGACATTTTTAAAGCAACACCTTCCATGTACTTGAAATAACAGATTCCCTGCTCCTATGTGACAAGATGGGCTTGGAGTCCATAAATGAGAACAGCTATTGGCAAATACATTACTCAGAGGTGCTCTGAGAGCAGTCCTGTGAAAGGTACTTGTCACTTACCAGCTATTGAGTTTACCTCTCAGAGAACTGTCACTTGTTAAAACAGTCCAAGCCAAGCTCCAAGTTAAGGTAGGTTCTTTACAACATACACATACTGATTAAATTCAAGCATGTTTCTTAGTGGCAGGCAATAATGATTCAACTGAAAAGAATCAAAGGGTTTCTAGGTTTTTTTCTGTTTAAGGGCATTATCCCAAAGCTTCTCAGGCATATACATTTTATAATTCATTCCCTAGATAGGAGGGGCTAGGTCCCAGCCATAACATCAGAGCATTCCAGAGAACAAAGTTTGCCGCTTCATAAATACAAAGAGATTCCAGCATGCAGTCAAGCACTGTGAGAAGGGGACACCAAACACACTGCAGACTGAACCAAGCTCTGCTGCAAGCTGGGCGCACACTGGGACAAGCTCCTTACTCAGATGGACTGTACTCGCAAGCAGTCAGTGTGATAGGTCTCTTTATTGGATACATGACGGACACATGAGGAATAGATGCCAAATCCCTTTCTAGCGCCATTGTAAATACTGAGGACTTCTGGTTGAAAGAGCATGCTGAAATGGACTGGCCAGGACATTTTATGTAATAGCTTTTCAAATTTTTCTTTTTTATAAAATCCCAGGCCCATGTGACACTGGATTTTGGTTTTTTTGTTTTTGTTTTTAGTATTTTAAAAATAGTTCTTAATTCTTTTCTATGAAACGTATTGGGAACTCAAAAAGTCTGCAGCATTTTTTGATCACTGAAAAGTCTGGTTTGGGGGGATGGTGCAGGAAGCAGGAACTATTCAAATTTCTTGTGTTCTTCAGTATGAGAAAGGACTTTTCTTCTCTGGTGTATCATGTGGAAGTATAACTGGGGGAAAACTGAAAGAAAAAAAGAAAGAACTAGTTAAAGATACCATTTAAAACTGGGGCGAGGGGACAACACCAAAACACTCTGCTTCTCCTGCTTTAGCTGAGGCGACAATGGTACAAAGATTTATAACAAACGCTATCGTCATTACCATTACTAATCAAGATGCCATGGAGCCACCAAATTGACTTTTTTTTGTATGTGTGGTTCTGGGGATGGAACCCAGGGCCTCACACATGCTAGGCAAGTGCTCTACAACTGAGATACGTCTCCAGCCCTGCCGAGTAACACTCATTCATATTCTCTTCATGTTTATTCTGACTAATTTCACAACCACCAGGTGAAGAATACTAGTGATGGAATTATTCCTATTTCTTTTTTTTTGGTACCTGGGATCAAACTTGGGACCTTGTGCTTTCGAGGCAGGCGGCGGAATCACTGAGCTAAATCCCCAGCCCAAATGGGATTTCAAAGCGGAGAAATTCAAGCCCCAGAGAAGAGAAGCAACTTCCTAGGATCTCACAGCAAGCAAGTCACTGATGGGAGTAAGGATCAGGGTCCGGGCTCCCCATTCCCAGTCTAGCCCACCCCATCTCAGGGGTGACGGTGAATGAGGGGTCTCCCAAAGCACTGCTGAGAAAGGAGGCTCTCTGGATGGTAAAGCTGAGGAGTGGGGAAGAGCCACAACAAAGGGAGACTGGCAAGCAGAAAAGGCCCTCATGGGAAGGGAGTCAGTATCTCAAGTTTTCTGGTTTGGGTCATTTCATAGTACACAAAGCACTGGTTCTCAAATGACAGCTTTCCTAGGGAATATCTGAAATAAGTGGGGAAGGGGGCAGGCAGTTAGAGTAGGGGCTAGGGATGCTAAAACATCTTGCAATGTGCTACAGTTTTCAATGAAGAACTGTGTGCCCCAAATGCCAACAGTGTCCCTGCTGCAGCTGGAGCTGCCAGGCCCTTCAAGGTTACTGTACCTGGGGAGCCTGGCAGCTCAGCGTGACCCTGTGGGAGAGCCTTTGTTATACAACACCCTTCTTGCCCTTCCCCAGTGGCTCTAATCTCTCACTTCTACATAGTAACCTGTATTTTCTGGGAGGCAGCTTCCTACTGCAATTCTCCTCGGATAGTTCCTTTCTTTTTAAATGGATTCCAAGCTGCCCACATTTTAAACGATTCTCCCTAAGTACTCCACGATGTCAGGAGGTGCTGCAGAGGACACTGGGTACTGAGCGGCACCGCCATCACTCCAAGTACTATTTTCGCAGAGAAGACCCAGCTTATGCACAGAATTCAACAGTGAGAGAACTGTTCTTGTGTGAAAGCCCGAAAATTTGACAAGCTCTAATCTAAAAACTGGAAGAAAGATATAATTAAACCATAAGGAATGCAAATTGTGATCATTTAAAAATGTGGGACCAGTCACATTGCTAGATTTACTTTAGCGAAGGCAGTCTCTGTGAGCTGAGCATGCCATGGTTGTATCTTTCACTGGTAGCATCAACTCAGAGGGCGTCTCTAACTTCACAGATAGTTCAGAGGGCTTGAGGGAGGATATACACCTAGAAGCCATTTCTTAGGCTTCAGTCTCAGTTTAAAAAAGGGCCAAGGGCTATGGCTGTCAGCAGGGGCAGATGCCTGAAAGAAGGCCATGTGACCCTTTCATTCCTTTACAACCCCCAGAGGTTTCCAGGTACCAAGGGAAAGAGAGTACGTGGGAGGCTAGGAATGCTCAGGCTGTCCCCATCAGAATGACCCATGTGTTCAGGCTGAACCCAAACACGATAGCTTAAACAATTCCAGAAACGTGGCTATGACCTGACCATATCAGGCCGCACTGCAGAGACACAGCACAGGTCTCCACCCAACAAGAGGCTACTGAGCACTTGACCTCCTGATTTCCTCACTCAGGACACATTACAGCAGGGGGACAGCTGTTGTGTGTTAGGAGTGGGGCGCATGCCGATGGCTCTCTACCCATCTCAGGAGAGGAATACCTGGAGAATGAAAGCAACTGGGAATGCTTTGCTTCGGATAAGTTCTCAGATTCTCCAAAAGTCAAGTGTGGCTGTGGTAACTGACAACCTGGAGAGTGCCGGCCTCTTGGTGTCTCCACCCTGCACTAGTGTCTCTCAAGTTTTCTTTTGTCCCTATCCCCATTACCAAGTTTTGCCAATCTGCTGGGGGTGGGGGTGGGGGTAGTGTGTGGTGTAAACAGGACTTAAGATGCCCACTGAGTCCTGCAGATACTGTACTGTCTCCCGACTGTGAATACTGCATAAGTGGAAGGGGGAGAAGCACTTTGCCAGGGACCCTGAGGAGCCTCAAGGTAGACAGATACACTCCAGGGGCCACAGTGTGAATACATGTGTGACAATGGATCAGGACCACAAAGAAAAGGGGTTACTTTATACAGTATATGTCTATCAGCTGCCCATCAGAAGATTAAGTCGGAGAAAGAAAACCAAATCTGGTAAAGACTGCATGTCAATAGCAATCTCACCCAATTGTGCATTTTCTTCTTATAAAGCGTTAGAAAGTTGAAATGTGCAGTTGGCTAGGATGAACTGTACAAGCTGGTCCTGATATTTACAACCTGATTATTGAAACCACCCAGGGCCACTGGCAGGCCAGGAGCACAGAGTCCCAGCAGACACGAGGGTGACCACAACAGGGAGGTCGACTGGGATGCCTTCCTGCACCTGGCTGGGCAGGCAGCAATCTGGGGGAGTCTTTCAGTCTTTATTTGAAAGCCAACCTTTTTCCTGGTCTATAAGAGTTAAGCTGCCTTTTAAACAGAAATAATATTAGACTGTAACAAGCCAAGTTCTCTATCAAAAGGGGGTTGACATTGGACATTGGAAGGAAAAAGGAAGGTCAAGAAAGCTGAGTTCTGCTGGGAGCAGTCCTGTCCTACTCTCTAGAAGATGACTGGTCCTGAGGCCTGTGCTCTGTCTTCTGTTACTCTTAACATGGTGAAAGAAAACCCCATGGGGCTGGCTGTTTTCCTCCTGGAATCCCACCATCATGGAGGGCTCCTGTGCATGAGCAGCCCATCAGTATAGCAAGAGGGCAGCAGGAAGGCTTGGCACAGTGGTTGGCTCCCAGGGCATAAAAAGGATTTGCAGGTGGCACAAAAAGGACTGTCCTGGGGAGCTGCTCCAGCAATGACGCCCTCCTTCTCAGACAGAATGGAAATCTTATTATATAACCCAGTCTGGCCTTGAACTCAAAAGCTTCTTGCTTTAGCCTCCCAAGAGCTAGATTACAGGCATGTGCCACCACGCCCAGCCAGACTGGAAATCCTGTAGGAACTGAGGTTGGGACCTCTGGATTTCTGTCAATACTCAAATATCTTGTTATGGTTTACCCTCCCTGTCATTTCCCAACATGGCATAGATTTTCTATTCACTCAAAAATTGTTGAGTGGAAATAAACCCTGTAGTGGACATTGGAATAACATGCACTGCTCTGGGAGTGCTGAAGCTGCAACTGTGCATTGTGGTTCTAGAGATGGGAAAATGCAATGCTGAGGAAACAAGCTTAGAAAGGTAAAGACTACATTAATTTTTATTGCTTGTATGTTTTAGAATATTCCATATTTGCCTTTGTTTGAAAACTAACTACCTGTTGCATCTGAAGAGAGAAGGCCTTTAGTCACCATATGCTGACACTATAGGGGAAAATTTTGTTTTTGGTACCAGGGATAGAAGTCAGGACCTTGTGCTTGCGAGGCAGGCAGCAGAACCACTGAGCTAAATCCCTGGCCCAAGTTTTTTTTTTTGTTTTTTTTTTTTTTTTGTATGTGTGTAGTACACTGAGCTACATCCTCAGCTATTTTTACTTTTAAAAATTTTCAGTCAGGATCTCACTCAGTCAGTTGCCCAGGCTGGGCTCAAACCTATGGTCCTCCTGCTCAGCTACCCAGAGTATGGGATTTACAGGTGTGTGCCACCACACCCAGCTGCAGGGGAGGATTCATAATGAACAAAGACTGGAAAATGAATCATGAAAGCAGGATTGCGTCCAAGAATTTCTCCAAGATAAATGTGCACATGAAATCTGGATTTAGTTTTTTTTCTCACAATGCATGAAATGCAATTTTCTACAGAGGGACACAAAACATGTCACTTATGACTGTTAGGATGATTCATTCAGACAATGCTGGGGTTGAAGAAAAACCCACCCCTGTCTGAACTTGGGGTTCAAGGGAGACGATGGCACCTTTCATAGACTAAGATTCAGAGTTATTTATAGTGGCTGCAGAAATAGCTAAAGGAGAAGAAACATGAACATCATTAAGAAGATCCTTCTGATACGCAGGAACTGATCACAGGATTGATCACAACTGACAGGACTCATCTCACATAAGTATCACACGTGTCTTTTCTTCTCTGCCACCCAGAATGCTAACAGCATATCTGACCCTCTGTGCACTTAAACCTCCAGCAATACCAGGAATATAACTGGAAAGCATCCCAAAGGGAACACTGTGTCCCTGCAGAGGTTTTTAGTGCTCAATAAGAAAATAAGAAGTGTAGGAAAAAAAATCTGTTTTTATTTCGTTATTTGTTTCTAGTTAACTACTCATCCCTTAAAATGAAATAAAACTGTCTCTTCCGATACAGTAAACAATGCAAATATCTTTTTATACTGTTTTCACAAACTATAAATGAGCATTTCTTAAGAGACAGGAAAATAAAATCAAGGTAAGGTCTTTAATGGCTTTTTTGTTTTCTACTCAGTACTTCCCCCCCAAATAAGATTAATTTACCTTGGTATTCAGTATTTTAAACCCACACACCAAGAAGGACTACATGTTGGCAGCTGTTTTGAGAAGGACTCATCTTTATTCAATTACTACTAGCAGAGAAAATTCCCTCTGACAGCACTCAATGAAAACCAGCATTCCCAGTAAATCAGGTTTATACTTAGTTGGATGTGGTGCAAAGACAAAGACATTTAACTCTAGTTATTGTGGAGCCAAAATTTTAAGACATAAATGAATACACATACAACTATTTACTTACGTGGAATGTAGGAGATCATTATCAGAATTAGGAATGCATAATAGTCAAAGGAGAAATTGTATTTGTTAGGTAAACTGATGGAGTACAGGCCAGCCTGTCTGACAAAGGGCAGAGCTGCATATATTGTGAGCAACTCTCCTGACACGCCCATCGGGTACAGCACGATGAAAAGTGTGTACCTGAAACAAAACAAAATACCCGAGACTGAGATGCAATGCCAGCGCTGGTGGAAAGACACACTCCCACCCTTCCACCCAGTCCTGGTCTTTCAGAAAGTGACTGTTTCTACATTTCCCATTTACTTTCTATTTAAATCTAGGCTTTAGAAGCCAGTTTTTGAAAAGGGCCTATAGCAAGCATGTGTTTCTGAATGTTCTAAAACAAACTATATGTGTTCACTAAGCAACTCTCTAGAACAACTAAGGGGATAGCAGAGGCAGGGATAGCAAGGTAAGGCACTAAGTCCCGTGGGGATGGGAGATTGAGAGGGGTTGGGAGAAAGGTGCTGAAACACCTAGGAAATCCTAGAACATACACCATGTCTGGTCTGTGGGCTGAAAAAAATATAGCACACATGTGTATATGGCCACAACTTTCCAATGTCTGCACAAACTGTTGTGAAAAATGGAATATATATGCTAATGAGACTGGATTTTAAACTTTCAGGCACAGAATGTACTGAAACATCTATGAAGATAAAGGGAAGACATATTCTTAACAGAAGAAAAAGAAGTATTTTCCATAGTCCATGGAGAAGAATGGGGAAAAGAATCCTTCTCCAATAGAAAAATCAGGCTTTGGTTGACAATCCCCCTATAACCCAGCTAGACAGTGTTCACAGTGGCTGTGCAGGCTGACTGGTAGCTGCTATCCTTCCTCTTTACTAGTAAAGATGTTTATTGCAAAAAATAATAAAAGTAAGGGAGTTCTCATTCCTGAAATGTTAGGAACAACAGAATTATGTCATTAGTCACTGAACTCATAAAGTATCTAGTAACCACTGTTTTCCTTCTATGAAAAGAGCTATTTTTGTTCCATGGACAATTCCGATTCTTCCGCTTTGTTGTAGTCCCCTGCCTCCCCATTCCAAAGGTGGTCTTTCCTAACTCAGAAAACTTGTCTCAACTGTCTTATGAATTAGTTAAGATAAACAGGTGAACTATGAGTCTTTTGCCCACATCATAATAAATATTACTGGTAAAAATAAGTGAAGCAAAACAAAACTGCTAAGTTAAAACTACCATGTAACATTTGTTATTAACTAAAAAAATTAAGACTAATAGTTTCTTTTTTCTTTCTTTCTTTTTTTTGGTACTGGGAACGGAACTCAGGACCTTAAGTTTGCTAGGCAGGTGTGGCACCACTGAGCTAAATCCCTGGCCCAAGTCATAGCTTCTTAGCAAAAGTGAGACTAGGAGAATTGGGCTAGGTCTAAAAAAAAAAAACCTACTATAATAGCAGAAGTTCATCAGCAGAATTTGATAAGGACAATTACATCAAGTCTCCACTGCATAACTCAACTGAAAAGAAATGATCCCAATTGAAAGTGAAGGCCTTTATCCAACTTCTGTCTCATACAACTTTATTTTTAGAAACTTGGAGGTAACATTTAGGCAATAAGGGCAAATATTATGAAGGATAATTTCAAAAGTTAGTCTTTGTCCCATTTTTTACCTGGCCCATTTGATGAGATAAGGCAGATGGTTTAACAGACTGAATGTATAAAAGGAGTAACGGATAATTTCTGTGATTGTCCAGGCAGTAACAAACAGGAGGACACTGTCTTCAGTCTGTACCTGAAGGAGAACAAAACAGAAGAGAAAGTGAACACAAGCAAACATTAGGAAAGAGGCATTTGTGGTGTGCAGCACCAGCAGGGTAGGTGGCCTGGGACCGGCCACATGGCCACCAGGCTCCACTCTCAGTGGACTTGCCAAGTAAAGACACATGTGCCCAGAGCAACAGCTGTGTGAGCCAGGTGATAAGGGACTCTGTACTGAGGAGAATGAGAGCCACAGGAAGGGAACTGGAGGAAAGATGGCCCCAGGAGGAAAAAACACCAGTTTCTGCACTTCCCTTGCTAGCCTGATGCGGAGAAAGTGAGCTGATGCCAGTGGGAATCAAAAGTACTGAGGTGGGGAGGGTAAACTAGTGGAAAGCTTGAGATCCACTTCCAAGAGCTTTAATGTGATCTGAGTGACAACTGAGGCTCTGAGGGCGTTTCAAAGAGGGGGACATCCAGGTGAAGATGATGCTTATGCACTGGGCAGGTGAACCCTGGGCAGGGAAGAGGTGGAGGCCTCCCCCAGGCAGGCCCATTTACGTGCACCGATGCTGACTTCTTCTGAGACTGCCTGGCTTAACTCCTCCATGATTTATGTTGAAATAACCATGACCTTTCAGAAGTGCCCCTCAGGTATCTACAGGAGACAAGGAGACATTCCCTTGCATGGGGATTGATAGCTGTGAGATTAATTTCCAGTACCTCCCTGTCCCACCCCAACTTGGTTTACAATGATCTTTTGTGCTTGAAAACCAGTAATAAGAAACAATTTCACATGGAAATTCATTTCAGTGAATAAGAAATCCCTTTTGATAACTGAACAAATCTCCACTATAAGCTGGCGGTTCTCTGCTTCCTCAGAACATCTAACACAGCAAAGGTCTGGCATTCTTGCCTTCACTTTTGCTTCTTTCCACCTGCAATGTTAATAGTTTCTAACACTTAAACTCTTTCTCTGAAGTGTACATAGAGTGATCCACCTACACAATGAAATAAGTAGTCATTTACATAGCTATTAACTAAATTGCTCTGACAAAGAATTTCATAAATGCATAGTTACTATTCTCTAAAAATAATAAGAATTTTATACTGTCAAGAGCAAGAGTACTTTCTGTTTCTATTAGCCAAAGTAAAGCAAAAGCTAAACACATTTGAAGTGATCATGTTGAGACTTCAGTCCACAAATCCTTGCTTAAAATCCATACTAAGATTTGAAAAGCACATGCTTTTTCATGACTTCTGGGATTCTCATTATCTGAAGGTGATATGTTTTTACAGCTATAGCTGAATCTTGTCTAAAGGCCTCTGGGTTATAACAGGAAGTTCCTCCAATATTTTTTTTCTGGTACTGGAGACTGAACTCAGGACCTTGTGTTTGTGAGGCAGACTTGGTGCCTCTGAGCTAAATCCTGGGCCCTCATCTAGTATTTTGTACTGTAAAACACCCTGAGAGCAGGGAGTGTTTTATTCATCTTTTGTTTTCCAAAAGCACTTGGTTCTTTCCACAAGTAGGAGTTCAATAAAAATTTGTGGAACAAAGGAATTCAATCCTAATCAGTTTCCTTCTTTGTGTCTGCGCAGCCTTAGTGACACTCAAACAGGTAATAAACAAACACAAAAAAACCTCACGAATTAGCCAGGCATGGCTAACTGTAATCCCAGCATATCTAGGTATGCAAGTTTGACTCCAGCCAGAGCAACTCAGCAAGACCCAGGGTCACAAAGGGGAGTGGGCGGTGCTAGGGATGTACCTCAATGCAAAGGCCTTCAGTTCAATCATAAATTCCACAAATAAAACAAACAAAATAAAACAAAAAACAAATCTCCCATCTTACCCCAGCCTAGAGGCTGGTTTTAAGACTTATGACCTGGTATTCAAGCTAAATTCGGGGAGCAAAGAGCTTCCACACAGCCTGAATCTGCTTCCAGAACACAGCAGGGAAGATTACAGTAAAAGTCTTTCAAAAAGGCTGGGGATGGGGGAATGGCCATTTTGTGCATTGATAACTTTAGATCAACAGCAGATGCATCAATTAAGAGGGGATTTGGATAAAGTCAGAGATTTGTCTTATCTATTAGCACGTAATTATCCAATAACACAGCAAGGGCAAAATGTAATATATGAGTTAAAACCAGTAACACCAATGCGACTTGAATTGGTACTCATGTCTACAGCAGCATTTTTCACAACTGTCCAAAGGCGGAAGCAATCCAAACGTTCACTAATAAATAAATAAATAGCATATATACAATAGTGCATGCATATATATATATATATAGCCTAAAGGAAATTCTTACACATGCTGCAACACAGATGAACCCTGAAGACATCTGGCCCAGAGAAACATGCTGTTACAAAGGGGCAAACAGTGCATGATTCCACTCATAAGCAGTGGCTAAAATAGTCAAATTTGGAGACAGAAAGTTTTCTTTTTCTTTTTTTTTTGGTACCAGGGATCAAACTCAGGACCTTGTGCTTGCTAGGCAGGCACAATGCCACTGAGCTAAATCCCCAGCCCTGGAGCCAGAAAGTTGTCAGGAGCTGGGGTGGGGAAAGAGGGAATTACTATTTGACTGGTATGGATTTCTGTTTGGGAAGATGAAAACAGTTCTGACACGGATGGCAATGAAGGATACACAGCAATGGGAATGCAATGATGCAAATGAACTGTCACTTAAAATGATCAACATGGTAAATTTTATGTATATTTTACCACAATTTAAAAATAAATTTAAAAGCCAGTAGTATCAATATACAAGATGGGGCATGGCAAAGCTGGCTGGGGAAATGAGCAGAACCTGTCAATTATAAGATCCCAGGACAGTGCCAAATAATTCTCAGGACCCGGATGTGGAACTTCTCGTGGCCCCGAGATGTGGACCGCATAGAAGACCAGACACCACAGAAAACTTGCGATGGTGAATTCCCACGACAGCCTGTGCTGCGTTTCTCAGATGCAGTGTGTATTTTTATTTTTGCTTTTATCTTCTTTTTCTCTTGTTTGGCCCAAGTTTGCTCTGCAGAGCCAGTTTCTCCCACACCCAGTAACCCCGTACTTTTTAAATAAACTTCTGGCACTAGTTTTTGGTTTGTTTCATTCAGTTCTTTGAGGCAAGAAGGACCTTGAATACTTTTGATTTGCGAGCCCTTTCTAAAGAAACTACCCGATAACAGTATCAAAAATGACAGAACTAAATGTAAAGTTATGGTTCAGCAACAACAAAAGGATTCCAGTACAGAATGGAGAAGATCTGGGCTGATGAAACTCAGAGATGGCCCCAGTTGAGAGATGGTGGCTGCCGCAGGTAGATCACTCCTGCTACCCCTCTCCTTCTGGAGCTGTGGCACCAGCGGCTGCGGCATGCTGACTGCTGGCTGTTTGCTGGGGCTGGGAGTCAGCTGTCAGTGGCAGCAGTAACAGTACCAGATGGGTCTCATTATGTAGTTCAGGCTGGCCTTAAACTCATTACATAGCCCGGACTGGCCTTGAACTTACAGCAATCCTCCTGCCTCAGCCTCCTAAATGCTAGGATTACAGGCATGTCCCACCACTCGTGGCAAAATGTGAAACCTTTTGAACACTGACATCATGCCACAGTGGAAAATTCCACACCTGACCCACTGTAAAGAACTATAGTCACAGAACAAGTGCATTGAAAAAATTGTGTAAGGGCCGGGGGTTTAGCTCAGTGGTTCTGCCACCTGCCTCGCAAGCTCAAAGACCTGAGTTTGATTCCCGGTACCAAAAAAAAAAATTGTGTAAGCATGGTACTGGCAAAGAAACAGACCTGAGGACCAGTGGAATAGATTAGAAGATACAGAAACAACTCCAGACATACTCAGCTACCTCATCTTTG